GTGGAAACAGAATAAAAAGAAGTAAGAATGAGGCCAAATGGGAATACTTGATTATAAACACAAAGAAACCTAAGAGCTTGAATATTCCCTCTGCACCAACAGAAGCACTTCAGTTTTGAGACACTTTACTGCAAGAAGATGAGACAATACAAGTAACACACATAATGAAAGACAGCAGAAAAGGCACTGCAGATGTCAAGTAATTTCTCCAAATGAAGTGATTTTGAGACAAAAAACTTACTCGACCTGAAAGCAAATATACATTTAGCTAAATATTTGGCTTCCTAAAGTAAATGAAAATGTAAGTTTAAGGAGCACAATGCGTAAGTGATTGTGAAGCGCCTAAACGAAAAATCTATGAGATCAGAGTGTGAAAATAAAATTGACTATGACAGATCTGTTTTCATATCATAAATATCAAGTGTATTTTTAGTTTTTAAATTGAGCATGTTGATTCTAAATGGGGAAAAACATTACCTGTGGAACTTGAGGGCTTCTTGAACTACTGATAATTTATTTAGCATAGAAAGCTCTGGAGAATAATTACATAAGGTTTGCCTTTCATTTACTCTAAAAACATTAAACATGAGAGATTAAAGTTGCTCATCCTAAATTACTTCATATTTTCAGAAAGAACAAATAAAAAAAGAAAAGACTATACTATTATGCATTTGCTGGTAACAATAACCAACATATTTCATCATCAGTCTCAATTTGGCATTTAAAAGAATGCTTAAAGCAGTTTGGTTTTTCAGCTGTCGCTTCTGGAGTACTTTTTCACAGAGATGTCTAGCCAGCTTCATGTATTTTCTGAAGTATTAATGACTGGAAAATCAGAGTCTACAAACAAATTTTATAAGGTAAATATTTAAATCTCAACAACAATTCGAGTCATATTAAGTTTTAGTTTTAACCTATGAATAATATAGAGTTTCCTGAGTACATGGAAGAAGAGAAGAAAGAAAATCCCAATCATATTTTACTTTCTTTTTCTAAAGGCTAAGGAGGTCAGGAAGCTCAACAGGAAACATATAGGACTAATTACTGTTATTTAAATACGCAATCTGATAGACAGCATCAACACACATTTTAAGAGAAAACACTCAGATCCAAATGCTCTCAACTACAAGGTGCAGATATTAACAGATACAAGTAATGTAAATTTTACATATAGATTTGCATATTCACTGCTTTTCAAAAAGAAAGGGAATTTGGTTTCATAGATAATCAAGCAGTCTTTCTCAGTTTCCAGGAACTGCTTTTGATCTGACTGGCTAGTTCCAACCAAACCTGGGGTAAAAAAGGTATGTTTTGGTTATAACTCTGCAAGAAAGGGAAAAAGGGACATTGCTACATAATGCCCCATGGAGGCAAAAACTTCAGAGACTGTTCAGTCATCAGTATGGCTGCCAGGTCACCTGTCAATCAGCCATAAATGATCTAAACCTTGTGCTGCTTCTTGTTCTGGCATCACTTCAAATGCCCAGAATGAACCTGGGCTTACTGCTAACCCAGAATGAACCTGGGCTTACTGCTAAGATACAAGGAAGAAAAGACCAAAAAATGTGATCAAGCATCATACTTCACTTTTTGAAAAACAACTTAAGCTTTACTAATGGCCACAAATTTAAAAAAAAAAACCAAAAAACAAAAAAGCCTTTGTTTTTCTTTGTACTTTACAAACAACAACAAAAAGAAACAAAAAACCTACAACAAAAAATTTAGTCAAGCATAAAATGACAATCACAAACCACTTCCATTAGCTTCATTCAGTGGCTAAGATGGTACCATTCAATTAACATGTTTATTATTTTTTTCTCATCTGAAGACATGAATTAAGTTGTCATTTACTACAACTAAGGATGGCAACTGCTGCTTTCCAAGGAGCATCTATATATTGTCCTAGACTCGGTACAAGTTCCTTGTTATTAGTAATGACCCTATCCTCACAACATCCTCTCACTAAAAAGTTCTGCCCCATTTTACAACCTGAAAATAGAGGTGCAGAGAGGTTAATGAACAACCACCACCAGTTTTGGTATGATCAAGGTCAATTTTTTTTCCAACGACTTCATACCATACAGAGCTACCTGGGTTTGAAACAGCTCCCCTTGAGTTTGGTAAAAACTGTGACCACTAGCCACTTTTGCACATCGAACTCAATAACCTGACACCACGAACAATAATTATAAACAGAGAGTTTATAATGCCAACAAAAATAACTGCATTAAAATCTTTTTAACTCTGGCATAACATGGTAGCACAGGATTTCCACAAACGTAGCCCTATTTTAAACCATTTCCCTTTTAGGAAATGGGGGAGGAATGGCCCTTTAAACATACTCATGATAAACAGCTATTTATGTCTAGTAAAGCATTCCAGTGATTAATTAGTCCAGTAAGAACACGCCCCTTATTTGAAGTCTGAACTTGCTTAATTCAGGTTCCAGCCACAGAACTGTGGTACACCTGCATCAGCCAAAGAGAGCTTTTATCAAATATCTCTTCACAGAGTAGATGCATATTGACCAATGAAGAAGCCCTTAACAGTTTCTGACCTAAGCTAAACAAAGTAAGCACCTTATGTCTTCTTTACTAAGACTGGTCTTCCCCCATTCATTTTCGATGCTCTGCAAATGTTCTCTGGAAGCTGCTTTTTCACCACCCTCTCTGGACTGTCAGTGGCAGATGAACTGCTCCAAGAAGAGCTGTAGCTGATACCTTCTAAATTCCAATTCCCTTGTTCAACTACTCAAAGTTTTTCACCAGACCTTTAGCTAAAGCCAAAAGGATTGACTTCAAGTCCTATCAGCCTCAGACAGAGTCTCCCCAATTGTTGCCCAATTTAGTATTTAGTTGCACTGACTGTGCCATGAATGTTACATTCATGTGTCCAATTCATTAGTGATTTAATCACCTTGCAACCTTACTAACGTCCTTAGTCCCAAATTTATATTTATTATTTTCCAGGTAAACAAAAACATCTGAAACAATGCCAACATAGTTATTTACAGTGAGAAGCTCAGATACTCTGTAAGGGAAGTTAATGCAACACATGAACAGCAGACTGATTTTGCAGTATGTTCCAACACTTGCAGATGTACAACACTGGATTCTGCATGTTAGCCAGACAGCCTTGCCTAGAAATCCATGTTTGCAAGAACCCAAATCTCTAGCTCAACCCCTCCTGGAATTCTTAATTAATAGGACTTACTAGAGTTTATTTTGCAACACAAATTTTAATAAATCTTTGAAATACCCTAGAACCAGCCAACAAGTAATGCTTGTTAAAGTTGATAAATGAAAAGAGTGGTTTTGCATTTAATAAACTGAAAAATCTAATCAATGATTGCTTTAAAAACATATGAGCTTTCAGTTTGTGTATTCACATGTAACTGCATGGATCTTTAAAGATTTTTTTTTAAAAGGTAAGATATACCACAGACCAATTCAAAAAGTCAAAAGCTGTAATCAAAGCACAAGTTCCTGCTAAAAATCCCAGAACTCCTTACTGAAGTGTTCACAGTGGGAAACAACCTCAACATCAGATACTGAAAATGTCACAAAGCAAACCTGTCAGCTTTAACATGATGAAACCTCTAAATGTTACAGCTTTATATTCTGTTTATGTAAGAAGAATTAAGATTACACTCTTAGGCTACTTCATACTGTCCAATTTTAAGACTTGCATGCATATCAAAACTGTTCTCTGACTAAGAAGGACAGCAGCCTGAAATGTCAGAGGTTCAAATCCAGCTCAGCTTCACCATTTCAATGAAGGTGGAAGGCAGGGCAGAAGCTGTCTAAAGGAGAAGAATATGGAGAAATAGAGAAAAATAGTATTTTCTCATAAAACTTCTCCCCTTTCTCAAAAGACTGCATAATATTGTCTCAGAATACCAGAGTGTACATGCTTACACACAATTCTTTCCTGGCTTTATAAACAGACATTATAAACATTACTGGGTGCACTGACTAAGATGCTAACTTTTGTACATTTTGAACTTCGAAGGCACTTAAGCAGGGTTTAATCTTCTCCATCAGAAGTCTTTAGAAGTCTTTCTTCTTTCATCTGGGAGAAGGAAATCCATTCCTCATAAGTTACTTCAGCCAGTTCCACACTTCCTATTTCTAATGTGATAGCTTCTGTGACGTCAGGAGCATCAGAGTGAAAAAGGCCCCTCCAGTCTTACTCACATTCTTACCACAGCTTCTCTCTTACACTGGAGCAATGAGTAGGTTACCCATACCAGGAAATACTTGAAAGAGTTGAGTTTCAAAGATACCTTTTGAAATGACCCTTTGTGGATCACATAATGAACACACACACAAATACACACACATTTACACAGTTTACATATTCTAAAGCACTTTTCAATCAGGTCTACCCAGTCCTTACACTGAGTGTCCACATCTTCCTTTGCATTTCATGGGCAAGTGTACAGAAAAGGATCTGCTGAGCTGTTGCCTTCCCTTCTGCAGGAATTAGCATACATTATCAGCTTCAAAAGGAATTTACATTGTTCCAGAGCACAGGCCTTCTTGAGATTCTATTAACTTAAGTAAAAGAAACAGAGGCAAAAAAAATCTTCACCTCCCCAGAATATGCATTAGGTAGAGTGACAATGCAGCACAAAGGAACCATCAGGATAAACAGTATTTAATGGCAAGAAAATATAGATTTTAAGGAAAAAAACAACAATGAAAAAAAAAGCAAAGCACTGAGAAACATATGGAGACTCTAGTAATTTCTTATTTAAAGTCAAACAAAACAAAATCAAATAACTTCTAAGACATTTTAAAAAACAAACAAAAACCTCACAGAAGAAACATACCAAGCAGAACCATTACTGTTCTTCTACGGCCCAACTATATTTCAACTGGTACCTGCTTAAAGATTCCTGCTAGAATCATTGTCTGGTTTCTGTCTTCCTGTCATTTTCCTTCGTCTCTACTACTTGATACTGTAAGGCAAAACTAAGAAAAGGAGGAAGAACTTACTGGTATTGAGAACTCCTCTGCCAAACACTTCAGCACTGATGCTCCTCTAGTCAAAAAGTTACTTCTCTCTGCCAGATTGCCCTGGAGTTTTGTATCAAACTCCTTTCTGACAACTGAAGCAACAGAGTCAATTATTATAAGTTTAACTTTCTTTGAAATAATTTCTTCTTCCAAAGACATAATCCTAAAAAAAAAAAAAAAAAGTCACTGATAGCATTATTTACACAATAGAACCATTTTATAACACTGAAATTTTTTAAATAAATATTCCTTTAATAAGCTTAAAGTCATTCCCTCTTTTTCCCTCCTCACACACCCCGTCCATTAACATCTGCATGTATTAAATAGATTTGGAAAGGAACCTGAGGCTCAGTGGGCCCAGGGTAGGACCTTTCCACAAGAGAGTTTTGGAAGACCTCTAGCTAGCCACAATATGCTGTACAACCCCTGAATGGCAGACAGCAAGTAAAGTGGGCATTGAAACCATGCCTCACTGAGGTCTTCCAGTTCTTCAAGGGGATTTATAAGTAAGAGAGTGACTTTTTACATGGGCACATAGTGATAGGAAAAGGGAAAATGACTTTAAATCAAAAAAAGAGAGATTTAGATTAGAAGTCGGAAAGAAATATTTTATTCAGTGGGTAGTCTGGTAGAAGAAATACTTTATTCACTGGCACAGGTGCCCAGAGAAGCTGTAGATGCCCCATTCCTGAAAATGTTCAATGACAAGTTGGATGGGGCCCTGAACAACCTGACCAAGTGGGTGCTATCCCTGCCTGTGATGGGAGGTTTGGAACTAGATGATCTTTAAGCTCTCTTCCAACTCAAGCTATTCCATGTTTCTTTAATATGCTACTAGCTCTTCTCTGATAAAGCTGTATTAGAAGAAAAAATTATTCTGATAATAATTCCCCCACTAACATAAAACACACAACATGATGGTAAAATAAAACTTAATTTTCATTGCAACATATGTTCACTAATAAATATAAGGTAACAACATGACAATAGAACACTGCACTTAGGCTGGTGACTTCTGAACAACTCCCTCCCACTGCTGGAGGAATCTCCATCTTCCTGGAAGTAAAATGCTTTGGAGGAACAAACTTCTATTTCATGGAAAATGTAACTCTTATACTATGATCTCTCCACAATCAAAGAGAATACCTGTCTCATGAACATTCCCCTTTAAAGGCTTACAAGGATCAGATCACATAGAAATGGTCTATCAGAAATTAAAAACCATCAAGTGGATTAGTCACATGCTATGAAATGAAATGAGCAACGTCAATCTCTCTGTGTTACTTTATTGGAGACCATGCTGGTATCCACATGAAAAGGTCTCAAACTAATTACTCTTCATAAAACTTTGATTCAAAAAAAAACCAATTTTATAGACAATCCAGTCAAAATTGTCTTTTCTTTTCTTAAACTGTGGAAAACAATACCTCTTCAGTACACTGCAACAGGTGAGCTCTCGGTACAGGTGGATGCTACGGGTCATGCAGAGCAGCTTCTCATCTGTGTCAAAATAAGCAGGGAATCTCTTTGCTGCCATCTCAATCAACCTATTAAAAAAACAAACAAACAAACAAAAACAGAAGGCATAATACTTCTAAAAGAATAATGCAAGATAATAAGGTATCAAGTGCTCAGAAAGCAAACGCAGCAAAACTCTGAACCATAAGCAGATACCAACTAAGACTGGAAATCTTTTTAAAAGGAAAAGCATACTTTATCGGAGTGAAACAGTGGAAGTGAGAACAGTCAGGTTCTCTTTCCAGTGATACTGAATCAGTGGTACACTAGGGAAAGATATCATGTGTCTGTATGCAAAGAAAGCGAAGAGCATATCTCCTCTAGAAGGAAAGTTTACTTACTAAGTTCTTCAAGTTTTATACCAGAGATTCCACTCAATGACCAAGAATTTTCCTGTTATAATTGTTTTATCTAAATATTAATTTCATTTAAATAAAACTACTCTCCAACTCTAACCATCCTCCTTTTCACCTTTATCTTGCAGTGAAATCATGGCTTTGTGCCACCACAAAAATGCAACAAGCTGGCAAGAAACAGAAGATCCATTAGAAGATCCAACCAACATGGAAGCAGGACTGCAAAGAACAGAGCCCAGTTCAACTCCAAGTACTTAAGCAAGCAGTACATGTATGGAAAATATGCCTGACAAGATAAAAATCTTTGCACAGATACATCTCCTTAAAAACACAAACAATGTCATTTGGATGGAAGACTTTCACTGAAACAGCTTCTAGTTTATATTACCTATTTATAAAAAGGGCTTACAAAATCTGATTAAAATATACTTGTTAGAACACAGGGAGAAAAAATTAAAAGTTAAACCACTGGGTCACAAAGTGACTGAGAGCCCAGGTGCCAAGGCATCTACAACTGAACATCCATTCATTCAGTTGAAACAGCTACAAATAACATGATGTAACAAAAAGATTGAACAGTTGAAGTGGCTCCTTTACTGATAGAACTGGATGTGGGGTTCCAGGACTAAATGTTCTCCACTACCTTATCAGGAAATTCATAACCCATCAAAACCTTGAATTATAATTGCTAACCATACCACTGGTTATTATCAGAGTAGACTAAGGAAGCATAAAACAGGTGATAACACCAAAAGAAGTCAGAAGGAGCTGGATATTTATTATTTTAAGTCAAAATACCTTCATAACCAGAAATTATAACTTGTGGAAAAAATCTTTCACACAGATGTAAAACTAAACAGTTTTCAATTATATTATATTTTATACATAAAATCATAGAGGAAATTAAATAGTATTCATTTTAGAAATGCTGAATGCCTATAAATTCCTCAGAAATCACTCAAAAGCAGTTGCACTCCTCTGACCACAAGGCAATTTCACCTACATCCTTAAAGAGATGATTCAAGAATTTTACTTTGAAACTTGTAGTTACAATCTACATGGAAAATTTTCTCCAAAATGAAGACTTTAATTTTTAATAACAAAAAATACTTAATTGTTCATGTTTTAAGCAAACATATCCTACCTATAACTTGAGAAGAGTGGCATCTAGTGGATTATACTTGTGGGCACAACTTACTTGTTATCTCTTTAAATTTAAGTTCCTTTCATTAATACACAAAGCAATTTCAGGGAAAACAAATTTTAAATCAGTTTAGAAAGAGAACTCAGGAGATTTTGAGGCAACATTCTGTTCAAAGCACTGCCAGCTATGAAGTTGGAGCAAGTTACTTGAGTCTTTTATCTATTTCAGAAGCCTTCAAGGATGGAGGCAGCACCACCTCTCCGGGCAAAGCTTTTTTCACCACAAAGGCAGTTAGGAATTGTAAAGCTTCTCCATATCTCAGTCCAGAAATGAAGCTCACTGTATTGCCCGCTGCCTCCCAGCACACACCACCTTGGAAAAAGGGGATATGCATCTCTCTGGCCCTGATGGTTCAGCTCCTTAGAGGATACAGTACAGAAAGTATAATATATATAGTCAGTCTGCTGAAATTGCATTTATAATTTGCACCTGAGAAATACTAAATATGATTTAATACATAAATATTCTCATCCTTAGTAATAATATTATTTTCATCATGTTTCCTTTCTATATCCTATTCTATTTTCAGCAGTTTCAGTTTCATCTGCATCTGCCTTCCTTTTCTTTAGCACTCATTTCCAAGTGACAAGTCTTAACTCACTCTTTAGGTCCTACCTTTTTTTACTACTTACATGTCAGGGACCCAAAATCAAACATAAGTGGTGTGTAAGAAGGAAGCACTGTACTTTGCAGAGCCATTGCTTGAAGCTTTTTTCTTTGATATACTATACTTCAAACTTTTGTGACATTAACTTGACAAAAAGCAGGGTTAGAAATCCCACTTTGTCATCCATGATAACTTGCAACGAATAATCAATGGAAATACATTTACTTTGATACTTTGTGCCACTGTGCCATAGCTATAGCTACTAAATCACCTGAAATACATAAATTATAAATATAATATAAATTATATAATAAATAATATTATATAATATATAAATTATTTAATTGAACAAAGAGCTTCATATGAACCTCTTTCTGCCCATTTTTCTACACAAACAAGGATGAGACTACCTGTACTTCTTATCCTTCCCAGACCCTTAACAACTTTGGAACTTGCTCATTCCAAACAACAGGGACAAAGGATTAGAAATCCCAAAAACATCACAGCTGCAAAGTTTAGCAAATTTGGTAACTAAGTGAAATAAATTAGAGGTACATTTAATGAAACACTGCAGGATTATTTCAACAGTTAATCAGACAATTGAGTGGCAAACAACATGTGTAACTCTCAAGCAATCCAGCACTCGAACACAGGAATGTCTCCTGTCCGTTCAGCACTCAAACACAGCCAAGTACACAGCTGAGCCATTTGGGTTGCATGGGCCAAGTGGGAGAGATCAGAAGAACCAGAGATGTTATAGAAATAAGGTAATACAGTACTGCATAGCTGCTAAGGATATAGGAGATGCAAGGTTACTGCAGAAGGGAATCAGAAATGCAGGAGAGCATGAGGTCCCATTCAACAGAAGTAGGATGGGAATCGGAAGGAAAACAGGAAATGTCAGTCCCACAGTTCACTGGAAAACCTCCACTGCTGTTGTAGTCAAAATGCTGGGCCTTTACATCTCCTAATTAACATCCTGATAACTCCACAAACCAAACTGCAAAACAAAGTTTCAGATACAGGATTGGTAAGACCATTTAAAAATTAAAAATCATGCCATCCACCTTGTCATGCCAGAACTGGAATCTACAGCCTCATACAAATAAGGCACATGAGCAAACCATTTTATTAAATTAATTTCATTGTCTGTGGAGTAACTGCATGTACTAAAGGAATGTTTAATAATTACCACCAGTATTTAAAAATGCACAATTATTGCTCAGAAAATAACTGAAGGTTCAAGGTTCCAAGCTAAAAGGCTCTAAGAAGTTCTGTGTATTTTAGAAGTTTGCATCTTACCTTTCAGCACTGAATGCAGACTCCGTGTCGATGTATATAACAGCCCCATCTAGTCCTCCCATGCTTATAGGCAGTGTAGCCAGAACACTCAACATAATACAAAATTGAGTTTTTCCACAACCTGGTGGGCTAGTTATCTGGAAGGAAAAAGATTAGCAACATAACATTAATTTCACCATAATTCTAATTTTATCTAAGTCATATCAGCCAGTGTTCCCCCAATTCTGCTCTTCCAGTTACCGAAGGAGATGACAGCCATGAAAAGACAGAACACAGCTCACAAAGACCAACTTGCAGTTACTCTTGGATCGTTACCTTGCATACAAATTCACCCCCTGAAGAATTAAAAACCTTTTCAGACAGAGCATTATCCTTATACTTTATTTCTTTGACATCATTACCTTTCAAATTTGAGGTCCTCTACTCTCCCCCTCACCACACAAGATCTTCCCTAGAGACACCTAGCTCTCTTCCATCTGTCCCTGTGCTACCTTCTAAAACAGAGTAGAATTAAAAGATTCACAGATGACATTCACATGTCAACAATGGCTTTTAGAGCTGAAAATTAAGTCCAGAGCTAATGAGCTCACATACATAAACATATCCTTATCAATCATCATTACCTTGGTTAAAACAGGTCTCTCCTAGAGATCACAAAGATAATTGCTTATATACTATATAGACTGAATGTTCAATATAAACCACATATATACATAAAACAGATTTTATTCACTCCAGAGACTACACTCTGCAGTATGTGTTTTTTCATTGGTGTTAACTCCCTACTACCATATTTCAACACCAACACCATTCAGTGATCCAGACCAGCTCCCCACTTCTAAGCTTCCACCTGTGCTCACAGAAAGCCCCTGTGGTGAAGCATCATTCAAGGGGAGCACGTTCAGCTTGTATGAAAAGGCTCCAGTATGATTCTGAAGAGAAAAACCACCAGGATCCAAAGAACACATTGTTTGATGGCATCACCAGTTTCTGAGAGCAGTATTTTTCTACTAGAGATGACAGTCTGCTGTTCTTTATCCACTGCAGATCTTCCAGAGATTGTGTCAGAATGCTGGGCTCTGTGTTCAGATGATTACAAGTTCATTACTACTACAGTGGGTCTTTAAATACAGTATCACGTTGTCACTGCTTCTGGGAAGGGAGATGAAATTGTAAATACTAGGAAGGCCAAAAAGCAGCAAAGTCAAAGTGACTTTAGGCAGTGAAAACAGAGTGATAGGTTCATTCTTACACTGGTAGCAACAAACTAATAATGCAAGTTTAAAAGCAAGCCTCTCCAGGGAAGTTGACTGTAAATCAAAACATGGTGTCTCAAAACACCTAGTACTGCCACAACAAAGGCCTAAATACAGAGCTATTGTTTTAAATTTAAAAACAAACTTTACAGTAGACAGACAGTCAAAATCAAACTGATTTTTGAGACTGCATGCACAATAGTTTGGTTTCAAGCAGAAACACTCACCACAAGATATTGCAGTATTGCTATGGTTTTGATTCAAGCAGTAGCAGTATGACTTGAAGCACAGAAAATTTACAGGGAAACACTGAAGGATCACATTAGCTACAGTTAACAGTTGGTTAAAATCCCTTTAATCACCTTTGTCTTTAAACAAGGCCTGAAAGTCAAGCTATATCAATCACTCTATTTGAAGCTTTAATGCAAGAGAAGCATGAAGTGATTTTTGTTTAGAAGCACACACTTCATTTAGTGAATTACAGATCAGGAATCAGTCATATTCATGCAATTATCTGTTCCTCAGCCATATACAAAAAATGCAGAGGCAATACACATTCCTTAGACTGTGACAGCCAATGAATCTCACCAGTTGTTTCTTGTTAAAAAGAAGACTTGAAATGAATGAGGGGAGGGCATCAATCCAGTCTGTTAAATTAAAATGTTTGGACAACTGTGAAGATACTTCATAAAAACATTGGTAGTTTCAGCCTTGCCTGGGAGGTGCACTGGAACCAACATCCATTTCAGTGGCTGACACAGAAGCTAATTCAGCAGAGATGCTATAAAAATGTCTGAGGATATGAGCATCATATCAGAAAAAATGAAGGGACAGTACAAGCAGTACAAGGAAGCATGCCAATGGAGCAAGAAAGCATTCCTATTCCCAAAACCAGCAATGCTTCATGTTTAATCTGCTTTGTTTTAAAAGGGCCTTAAAACTGGCTTTTAAATAATCCACAGTGAACAATTTCACAAAACTACAACATATTATTGTAGTTACCACTACCACTGCTGAACAGCAAGTGCTTAGAACAACAGAACAACAGAATCCTACTTGAAATTCCTCTAATAAATTTAAATTGAATGTCTGCAAAAAATTTGGTTGGTTTGTTTTACTCTAAATTTGCTCTGAAAAAAAATCACCGAGATAGAAACGTGAAGACCACAACAGTTTTTAAAAGTATGTTTTATTTGGCAGAGATAAATTATTTTTCAGTAAGTTATATACTATTTTCTCTGGCACATCTGAAGGGTTTGGATGAAATCACAAGGAGTTAATTCTTCATCTACCAGAAGATTAAACTTTTCAGTACTCAGAAAAAGGAACTATTATAATTTTTCCTCATAAAACTCGGCCAAAAGCTCTGACCACAGAATTTCAGCTATGATTTAGTCTCCAATTTAAAAACTAATAGTGTCTTAGAAAAAAAGTGGTCTGAGACAGAGTAATGCAAATCAAATCCCTCTAGCACTCAAAAAGCAAGAAGATATGGCTGTAGAATACACCACCACAAATCTTCATCCTTCTGACCAGGTACTCAAATACCAAGTTTCCAGCCACCCTCACTGCTAGGTAAAGTAACAGAAAGACAATGATTTAGCCCTACCAGTCAGGAAGTAAATTCTGCACCCAGCATGCTTTTGAAGAGAACTTCTCTCAGAATTAAATTAGCTGTCTAATTCAAAAATGCCAAAAGACAATCTACTTGTTAGCTATGTTCCAGTGAATCGTAATAAAAGCAAATTAAAATTGTTAAATCCCAATATCACTCAAAAAAAACAAAACAAAACACAAAAAACAAAATTAAAAAACCTGGAAATGCTCACAAGCTGCAGTAGAGCATAAAAGCAGCAAACAAACAGCATCAAACCAGCAGCATCAGCAAACTGAAAGCTTCCTACTAAAATTTAAATATAGCAATTTTGATGAACATAGAGTGCTGCCAACCTTTTAAATTACTTCAGATCTCAAGACTCTTGCAAAAACACATTTTAAAATCCCTATTGCCAGGCTTTAAAATAAAAGAAAATCAGTTTCTGTATAGTTAAAGGTCATCTGCCTTTTCATCTGCTGAAAAACCCCTAATAGGTGCCCTAACTGCTTTCCACACACTAAAAGGCAAATAAAAAGCAATACGCTATTTTATTTTTTCTTGAAAATATGTATTATTATGAGTTATTCATCACATTTCTGGATCCCACCCAATTACCCCTATATTATTTCTGACTAAATAATTATGTACCAGTCATCAACCAAGTCCAAGGTGCAGGTAGAAGGACGCAGTGCTTGCAGTTCTGGTCTCATCCATTACATGTCTTGTATAGATATCAAGATCTCTCTCCCTTGGTGAGCTCTCCCATTGCAGAGAACTGCACCAGGCAGGTCTTCTCATTTTTAACCAAAATATCTTAGAATACAAAAATATTCACATTCTGCAAAAAAAGCTTTTTTTGCAGAAGAAAACCTGAAAGTGCAGTGTTACCTTTCCTGGTGCTGTGCTTTTCATTTACATTCAGATAAAAGTTTGGCCTATCACTGAATATATTCATTCCCCCTCAACTAACTTTTAATACAATGATACCCAGGGACTATGACTATTCTTAAAATGCAGTTTCCCAACAGTTACTCATGCTTTCTTATACTTAAAGGCTAAATATTGCAAGAAAACACTGGGGGGGAATATTAAAATTGGGTATTGTGATTACTAACCAGAGTAAGCAGTGTACAAAATATATAGCTCTGGAAAATTAAGCACTTACGTTAACTTCTTGTAGAACATTATTTTATATCATCTCAGGAAAATTGTATTTGACATCCATACTTTGAGATCAACTGATTGCAGAGTTTACTTTTAAATAAAATGTAAAACAAAACAAACATAAAACTTAAAGATCAGCTAAACTCCCCTAAAGGTCCCAGCATGTTAACCACTTTTTCTCCCCAGATCTTGCTCTGGAGCAATGCCAAGAACATGGCACTCAGCAAGCCTGAATTCTGTTACTGCTCTAGAGCCACTCTACCTGGTCTTCAGGTAACAACACATCAGACAAACTGCACTGATTACTAAAAGACAACTCCATTTAGGATTAAGAACAAAGACAAATATTTATGACACTGTTGCCAGCAGCCTTGTAAACTAACCATGTGGCTCTTAAGACCCAAAAGGATCACATCCACTTGTTTTTTTTAGCAGAAAAAAAAATCATATTCAATATTCCAAATATTTGGGTACCACTCCTGAGCCAGTCACAAGCTCAAGGATAAATTATCCTACCATAGAAAAGACACTTTTCTATCCTACTTCTTCCTCCTGTCTCTGCAGCAGTGGTTCTGCATTTCAACTAAGATGCACAATTCAGAAATTTAAGCAACATAAGCACATGAACAGCCATTCTCTGACTCCAGTGAGGAATGGTTAGTGGACCACATAGAACTCCTGGAAAGCCAGACTGTAGCTGCAACAAGCATCACTTCTTTCCAAACACTGACTGTGCTATTTCATCAGTTGACCACATGAGCCATAATCCATAAGAAACGACAAAATCCAGCCACTGCTTTGCTGCTAAAAATATTTTTAGGAATCAAAAGCTCATCTCCTGCTGAAGGCACTATGCTCAACAGCAGCACAGTTACTATCTCAGGATCACACAAATCGCAACTACATGTACTTCCTACTATATAGGAAAAGCTCTTCTTCAAAGAAACAGAATTTAGCAAGCTGTTGCTCTCATAACTTAAAGAATTGCAGTATTCACCTTAAGCTCTTCTGATCTAACTTTCTTATAGTACATTGGCAACAAAGCTAAGCCTAGATATGAAGAAAATATTAATTCCGACAGATAAATTTAAGTTCATGAATGCACTCAAACATTTTTATGTCAACCTGCATGGTGCATATTCCACTGTCTACAAAAAGAAATACTCTGAACCTTTAAAAACTAAAAACCCCTCATTACATAAGGGATTCTAGAGCAGAAACTGTTTAGTCTCAACTCAGTGTTGCTTAAACTCTAGTAATGTTTTAAATCACTGTTAGATTTCATAAGTCATTTCTATCAGAGATCAAAATCAAACTAGCTTAAATATAGGGTGAGAAAAAAATGCATTTTCTTCATAGTAAGATTTTCATAACTTCTCATTTTTATTCCTCTACTGTGACAATTTGTCACAGTAGACAAAGAAAAGCACTTGGCAAGGACTGTTCTAATCCAAAAATCTTTGTGTATATTGTGTTTGAAGCACCTGACACAAGACAGTCCAACCTATCTGTGACTTTTGATTCCTAGGTAGAATGCCCAACTAAAGTATATTAAACAAGTTACCTCTGTGAGGGATCCACAAGGCACTCCACCATGCAGGATCCTATCCAAACTATGAAGTGTGGTGGATAAAAAGGCTGAAGAAGGATTACCAGACTTCCTTAGTTTCATTTCATAAGCCTACAAAAGAAGGGAAAAAAAGCAAAAGAAAACAAGCAAATCAGAAAAAGCTTTTATAAATGGAAATAGGAAAATTGTATTTGCTTTCAACAACCTGGTATGACTTAAGGCTCAACAGTGAGAATATTGTTATATTCAGCTATAGTCTACCCTTAGCTCATCACTCTTCCTTTTATTTATATTCCATTTATAGCACACAGAGTAATTTTTTTCTTTCCCTTACCACAATATTAAAAAATAAGCCCTTAATCATGATGTGACAGAAGCTGTCTCTGCTTCTATTCAACAAGGTTTGTTTTCAGCCTATAAAACTCCTTGATCAATGTTCATTACCAGTTTGCTAGATTTAAATACATTCAGTAAAAGTCATACTAATTCTTCTATTACCAAATTTATTGCAACACCTTAGTGAATTTAAAGTTTCACAGAACTACTCCTATAATTACTATGCCAATTACACATAATAAACTTGGATATGGATTATTTTTGTATGGAAAGGGGGTTGCATTGACCGAGGTCACAACTGTCTGTATCCTCTCTGTTCTAAAATATATATTTTCATTTGAATTCAAAAAGGAAAAGAAATGCTGCCAATTCATTGTAGCTAACATGTCTTCTTCCTGCACGCTCCCCAGTTTGGCTACTGTAGCCTAAGGCACAGGACAACTCTTACATGGGTGGAAAAAGTCCTTAAGAAATTATTTGCAGCATCATTTAAATTCTTGGCACCACTTTTATACCAAAACCAAATTTATACCAAAATTATTATTATTATTTGCTTTTAGTAACCAAAATTTTTATTTTCTGAGCTTCAGGATACAAACTAGATTCAATTTTTACATGCTGGATTGGCAGAGAGTATGACTTATTTCCCTGCAGCACTCAGCACTGATGCTGTAAGCCTGAACAATCTTGTGGGGCTATAACACCTAATAAATGTAACTGCATCAACCTAAAGTGCATCAGAGACCTACATTTAAAAATAAAAAATTATGTCATTGTGCAATAAAACTGAGACACCACAAGCCTCCCAGCTAAAAAGATGAGCAACAATGTTCAGATCTTCCCCAGATATTGTATCAAAAAAAAAAAAATTAACACAAGCATACCTACCGTCTGCATTTTGGGAGCACAGGCTCGGCTGACTTTACAAAGAAGCTTCTGCACCTCATAGTAGCTCTGTCCCGTCACTTTCATTAGCTCCAAGAGGGAAAGACATAAGAACTCCTGAAAGATTACAGAGCAATTCAGAGAGCTGAACCTAGAAATCCAGGCTGGGGACTAAACTGATGCAATCTGTCCAAAATTAGTATACATTCCACAGGTTTAGAAACTCTCCCTTCAGATACTTTTACACATTGATGAGGTCTCCTCTGACATCTCTTCTCAATGCTGAATAGGCCCAGCTTCCCTCAGCCTTTCCTCATAAGAGATGTTTCCATCGCCTCTTGTTCTTTGTAGCTCTTTGCTGGACCAGCTCCAGCAGCTCCCTGTCTCTCTTGTCCTGAGGAGCCCAGAACTGGACACAGCACTCCAGGTCAGGCCTCACCAGGGCTGAGCAGAGGGGCAGGATCCCCTCCCTTGACTTGCTGGCCATGCTCTTCCTAAGGCAGCCCAGGATCCCATTGGCCTTCTTGGCCACCAGGGCACTGCTGGCTCAGGGACAGTTTGGTGTCCACCAGCACCCCCAGGTCCTTCTCCACAGAGCTGCTTCTGCAACTTCCTACTTCCACAGGGATAGTAAGTACATAAAAATTTAAATGTTTTAGTTAGGCATCTATCATTTTAAAGCCCTATTTTCACAAGGCAGCAGGCCAGAGAGAGTCTGAAATGCTCCCTACTTTATCGAAAGTAAAGCTCCCTGTTTAATTCAACTGCCAAGAAGTGAACTCAACATGCATTAAAAGAATTCAGCCACACAGACACCAAAAAAAACCCCAAAACAACAAGAACAAAACAAAAACCACCAAACCAAAACAAAAAAACAAACCAACCCACAAAAAAACCAAACGCATGCCCAAAAAAAAAGCACCAATCCACCAACAAAACACAAAGCCACCAAACCAAACTGAGCCACAAAAAAAACAGCCCCCACAAAAAAAATAACTTCTTACCTGACAGGTAGTGATCTGATAGCGACTCAGCCTTTCACACATTTCCTGAGACAACTGTGCTCTTCTTAGCTTCTTAGCAGCCATGCTTCCAAATCTACAAGGCAGACAAAAAACATGTTTGAAAAATTATTTGAATGTGATTGTGTGGACAATTGCACTAACTACTTGCTAAACAGGGAGGTGTGCACATATACATGTGATACAGATTTCCCATGTAAGTCTGTATCACATTAAATTCTATTACCAGTCTGAATGCAGTTTTGCTAAATTACATATTTAACCATGTACGAGAACATACAGTATCAGTAAGAACAGAAGTGTCAGCAATGTCTATAGGACAGATGTTTCCAGGACATAAGAAAGTTAGAAATTTCACAGTCATGAGCTGAACAAGGACTATTCATGCTACACTGTACTGGCAAGAAATAATTATCTTTGGATGCCTGACCATGAATTGTAGAGCAATCACAGTAAGTATTCAACTCTAGAATATACACTGCTAGAATACAATACTCAAGTTTTGGTGACCCATTGCCATTGAATTCTACTGCACAAAACACCACGGGATGCTGTCCAGCCCAGTACAGCCCAAAGCACACACACACGTATGCTTAACCATGTCGCCGTTTCACACGTATTATCTAGGAAAACATTTCTAGTATTAATTGATACAGGCATTTAAGCAAAACAAAGGTTTTTATAACGTAGTAAGCGCAAATATCGCAAAAGTCTGCCATAACACAAAACTGCTACAATTTTGCAGAGGCACAGGCTTCCACATCGTCACAAGACGGAAACTTTATTGCCCCCTCTACAAAATTCTCCTTAAGCAGGAAGGAACGCCAAAGTTACAGGCTCCCTCCGCCGCATCCGCCTGGGACACGTGTATGCGCCTGCAGCCGGAGACCGAGCCCGTCCCCTCTCGGGCCCGGCAGCGAAAACCGCGGGCACCAGAACACCCGCTCCGGCCGCAAACCAGCCTCACCCCGCGGCTGGGGGGTCTCACCCCGCGGCTGGAGGGCCTCACCCCGCGGCTGGGGGGCGGTCTCCGGCCGCACCCCAGCCCCAGCGGAGTGTCGGGCCGGGCCGGGCCAGCCCCGCCCGGGAGCAGAGCCGCTCACCACAGAACTGTTCAAAGGCTCCCCGCGGCCGGCGCGAGGGGGCAGGACCGCCGCGCAAGGCCTGCGCTCCCGCCAATCATCGTGCAGCCCTGACGGCCGGCGGCGCGCGGGGCGTGCCGGGAGCGGTAGTTCCCGGGAGAGAGCGCCTGTGATGGCGGCGGCGCCGCCTGTGGTAGTGTCAGCCTGCAGCTGCTCAGTCGGGTGACTGGTTTCTTTTGCCGAGGCTGAGGGGATGTTCGGTGCACCTTCCGCCCATGAACGTGAGGGGCCTCCCGGAGGGGGGAACCTTTCACGGCGCTTTTGCGCTGTGATGTAGAAATTCCTTCTGTCCTCTGCACAAAAGCGTCTCCATAACCCGAAAGGCTCTCTCATGGAAAGTGCCTTGCACGCACTCAGTCCTTAGTAAAGAGTATTGATTGGAATGATGTCCTCGTCTTCATATTTAGGGCTCGCGGACTGCTGCCAGCTGAGAGAGAAATGCCCGATAATGTGAATCACAGAATCAATTAGGATGGAAAAGAGCTCTGGGGTCATTGAGCCTATGGCCGAACACCCCTTTGCCACACCCTGGCTCTAAGTGCCACCTCCAGTCTTTCCTTAAACAGCTGCAGGGACCGTGACTCCACCACCTCCCTGGGCAGCCCATTCCAATGCTCAGTCACTCTTCCTGCGATGTAATTTCTCCTAACATCCAACCTAAACCTCCCCTCGTGTAGTTTAACTCTGTGTTCTCTTGTCCTGAATCTATTCTATCTGTCTGAGAGAGGACGCTGCAGCCTCTTTTCATGTAGTTGTGGAGACAAGGCCCTGAGCCTCCTTTTTGTCAGGCTAAACAACCCCAGCTCCTTCAGCTGTTCCTCACAGAACTCAAGAACTTTCACCAGCTTTGTTGCCCTTCTCTGGACACCCTCCAGCACCTCAATGTACTTCCTGAACTGAGGGGTTCAGAACTGGACCCAGTACTTGAGATGTGGTTTCACCAATGCCAAATACAGGAGAAGAAAAATTTCCCTAGTCCTGCTGGCCACACTGTTCCTGATATAGGGAATTTCTGAATGCAACAGGGAGATGCAATCATCAAACATGAATGACATGAATGTCTATGGGGGTGAGTTTTCCACCTCACTCTAGGTTATACTAGAAAGTACTGAACTTAGTAGTGTGTATAAGTTATCTGCATAATCCTTACAGTACTAAAAAATATCCCAACTGAAGAAAAAATGTGCCAGTCTACCTTGGCCATCTAACTGAGAAACTGCGCACTGGGAACTGAATGGCTGGGCTTTTGTCTGTCCTGGTAAACAAATGCCACAGCAAAGCTGCAAACTACAGAACACTTCAGCCACTCTTCCAAAGGAGTGAACAGCAGAAGCAGCAAGAAGCTATCATAAAATGCCCAGCAATCATAGTGTCAAAAAGGGTCAGGGAATTAATGTTTCTTTCATAGCTTGAAGGGAGCTTACGTGCTCAAAGAACTCCAGAGGATTTAAGAAGCCAGACAGGGAGTAAGCAGCCCATAGGAAAGCAACTCTGAGGTGTAGTGAAAAAGTAGTGAACAGGGAGAGATGGCATGGAGGAAGAGCTTCTCCTAGTGTAGTCAGCCTTTAAAAGTTGACTTGAACAATGCGAGTCACATTTGAGAAAAGCCGACTAAGGAAAGGGAAAAGATGTCTGTTGCTGCAGTTTAGTTTCAATGTAAAAAGGAGGACATGACCATAGTATAGCTTGTCATGAACTACTGTTTCCTCCTCACTACAGCGGTAGCAGAAGCCCTACCTTCCCACCAGAGGAATGGGGAGCATTACTTTGATGACTTTTCTTTCCTCCCACAAATGCACCAGGGCTTTCCCTTCACCTCCAGGGCAACAAGCTTCCTTTCCACTTTCTACACAAACAAAATACTTGTGTTGAACCAGAGAACTGTTTTGGGACATTGAGCAAGGGAAGAAAATCTTACCAGCCAACTACTTTAGAAAATTTGTGAGCAAAATCAATATAGCCAGGTGCCTCTCCTGCAAGTTATTTGAATCTCATTTCTCAGACGTGTCATGACTGTTCCCCAGTCTGCTTCTCAGATATGCAGATACACCTTTAAACCTACTGTCAAATAATTGTGCATCATATTCTTCATGTAACTCAAGGAAGGGAGAGAACATTCAGAGGATAACCAGAGATGTGCTCACATATGTTTAGTCACTGTCAACGTTCAAACAGTGGAAGTAGTGCCAGTCCAGTAGATTCATGTGTCAGACGAGCAGAGAACTGTGCTAGTCTAAGCCTTTTGCTGCTTCTGGAACTTATAATGAGAAAGGATAAATAAAGCTAAGAGATGATTATAAGAAATGGGTTTCACCACATTAACATAAGAGGGTCATTTAAAAGTGGCAACACTGGAGGAAGAGTCACAGAAAGGCAGAAGTATAACAGCAATAACAAATGAGGTCTCAGAGAATCAAAAGGATCTAACATCAAGCACACCAATTAAAATAAAAAAGGGAATGGTGATTAGCTGTCTAAGAGGCGAGCAGAAAGGAATAGAATCTGATTTGAAGGACACATGATGAAATACTTATCAGTTCTTACCCAAATAAATACTCAGTAGTTAATATGTCTCTAAGTCCCTAGAATTGAAAAGATAATGGTAAAATGTTTCCTTTCTGGAACAGATTCCACAGAAAAGTTTCTTCTTCAAACCCAAGACAGCCTTTTATGAGTATTTTTAGATAATAGTTTGCATTCTGGAACATTTCAGATGATTCATATAATTACTAACACAGTGTCAGCTCACTGATACTGACTACAATCCTCAGGTTTATTACTATTTTCCAACTATCAATTCTTGCCTCAAAATTAGTAGTGTTACCCCTACTCCTGTGAAAATGTGTCCCCAAAAGAGTCTGCTCTAGGAGAATACAGCAACAATTCTGACTCACAAGGGTAATCCAGATACTCAGAGCAATTCCCCACCTTATGCTTGCTGACTGGTGTCTAATTAGTCTAATATATTCTTATTCCTTGGGGTTACCTACTTGATGCCTACCACATTCTTTAATAGAAAGAAATGACCTGTGAGCTCTGGAGACTGCAAAACAGTTATAGAACAACACATGCTTTCCTGGGATTAAGGTCCCAAGAGGTTGCTCAATAACAGTACACAAAGGAACCTCCAATGACTTATTCTGTCTGTGTCTGTCTCCCCAAAGGAGTTGTAGATTTACTTCCAATCCTTTGAGGTTTCCCCATCTCAAAAAAAAAAAAAGAAATTTGAAAGATCTCATAAGGAGACCTGCACCCTGGTTGAAAACACTTTCATGCTGTCCACACCAGCACAGCTTTAGCAAAGCTACTTCAACTTGAGATTTTGCCAGATGCATCTGCTCGAGGGATGGGGTGGGGGGAAAGGAAACTACCTTTCCATTGTTTCTAGAACTTGCTAGAAACAGAAACAGCAACTGTTCCCATTGGCTATAATAAATCAAGAACAACAGACCTGTGAAGGAAAACCCCATCTTTTCATTTTGACTTATTCTTCCCCCATGCCCCAGTCATCTGAACTGTCTGTGGACCAGATAAATGCTTCTCCCCAAGCAATTAACCTTTTTCCTCCTGCTCAGGAAGGATTAAACCAAATTAATAATGAATCTTCCTCAGGTATTAGTGAAGACCTGTCTGATCATACACCTTTACACGCAGGAAAAATATATTTTTTTTTCTCAATACAGGCAGAAGGTATCTCTCTGTTTTCCACCTATTCACAAATGCTGCTGTGAATCCAGAATTATCCATAACCTCCAAAACTATTTCAGAAAAATTCAGCAGCAATGTAGAGTTTTTTTGAAAGGAAGTGTCTCTACCTCCTACCCTTTTTACAAAAAAGCAGACTGGCCACATTCAGTGCTATTGCAGGCAGAAGGGCAGCCCCACCTTCATATTATAGCTTTGAAAAACTCATCTGCATTTGCTTTCTACCCAA